ATATTTGAATAAATCTCATTGGCCAACTTTAACCACATGATTATCCTGCGTTGTGATTGGCTTGTTTAATTTCTGGGAGGATAACTGAGGGGGGATGACGTTAAACAACTATTCAACTTTGAACGGCCTTATGTGGATTGCTAATTAAATTAGTATGACTTTTGAATAATACCGAATAACATGCGAAACCGTATATATTGTACCATAGAAAATCTAACGAAAGACCTTCAACACTATATGAGAAGTATGTGAATAGAACGCATTAATGATTAAACTTAAGCACAGATATCTTAGCATATATATACATACCTCTTTCGTTGCCAGTTTAATATAGCTTGGGGATAAAAACTAATGGACCATGCAGAAAAATATCCCTGTAATAAGTATTACAAAAGAAAGTGTTAATACACGTGACATTTTAGATTTTTATATAGATATATAATGCATACCCATCCTATAACTTTAGATAATCCCACCAAAAATCCGGGTTCAAACATTTTGTTTAAAATTTGATTCGAATGTTTTTAAAAAATAATGTCAAAAAAAAATAAAGCTTTGTGTTGAAAAAATGAAAAAAACAAACCTGCTTATATATACAATTCGGACAATTCGGTAGTGGAAAAAGATATCCTCCTGTACACATGCACATAATGAACCTTTTTAGGATCACGAAATTGGAACCAAAATGGTGCAATTTTTACCATGTGTCGAGGTCAAATGTCACATGACTTGGTGACAGGTTTGATTATTAATCTATAATTTAACCGAGTATATTTATACGCATGATGACGTTTGTACGATTATAAATAACTTCAAACAATATTCTTGCATTGCAAATCTTTAAAAGGATTTTTATTTTTTTAAATATATATTGTTTCATGTATTCTTTTTATTATCTGCGGAGAATAAAGTAAAAAATAAAAAAAAATGAAGGAAATGAACGTTACCGGAGCAAAAATTTGTGAGGAGTTACCTCACCCAGAAACTCGAGATATTGTATTACCGAACCAGTCGGAATATGTTTCTCATATTGCCGTTGATGTATGTGAATACTTTTTAAGGACTTCTCTTTAAACATCATTATTATCACTTATCAAGTGTTATATCAGATCGGTGGTTCTTTGGCAAAAGTAGTCTATTTTTCAAGAAAACCAACATGTTCGACAGGGGGTAGACTAAATTTTACTAAATTTGAAACAGAAAAAATAGATGAATGTATTGAATTTATCGAAAATCTTGTGGCTGCGAGAAGAGACCCTGAACTGAAAGATAAAATTGTCATAAAAGCAACGGGTGGTGGGTCATACAAATATTACGACATTTTTACCAAAAAAATAAAAGGCGTTAAGGTGGAAAAGGAAGACGAGATGGAATGTCTTATAACAGGTAGGGCTAATCTAAATTTTAAATACAAATTTGAGGTAATAATTTTAACGTTTGAGATGCTGTGTTAGGTTTGAATTTCTTAATTTCTGAGATTCCATATGAAGTGTTTACGTACAGTGAAAATGATTCTATGTGCTTTGAGTACTTTACATCTGCACCGTCTAACATGTTTCCTTACATGGTACAATGTTTCTTTTTTTATGTTTGTTTTTTTTTTTTTTCTCACAGAATTCCTAATTGGTTATTATTGTCTTATAGTTGGTTAATATTGGTTCCGGTGTTAGGTAAAGACACATTGCCATGTTACTTTTATTTATTTATTAATTCTATTATTAATTGAATTAATTATGTATAGTATATTGAAAGTGACTGGTCCGGATAAATTTGAACGTATATCTGGTACTTCGGTAACGTATTTATTTACTAAAGTGTTCTTAACTCAAATGTTCTTAACTCTTGATGTTTGTTATCTAATCAATATTCCCTAATGCTATGTTTTATTTTAGTTGGGAGGTGGTACTTTATGGGGTCTTCTGTCATTATTAACAGGCGCTCAATCATTTGATGGTGAGTATTTTTAATATGTTTAATTATATTTATAATATTATGTTATGTTTATAACTTTATTTTGTCGAAAAAAAAGAAATGTTGGAAATGAGTAAACATGGTGATAATACGAATGTGGTATGTTAATTGAAATTTGTAAACCTTGATATTTGGAATCATATTAATGGTCAATCTGTTATTCACGTTCTTTATAGGATATGCTGGTTGGAGATATTTATGGAACAGATTACAAAAAGATTGGATTAAAATCATCAACGATTGCTTCATCTATGGGAAAAGTATTTAAAAAGAATGTGAGGCAAAGTGTCGGTGATTTTCGCGGTGAAGATCTTTCAAAATCGTTATTATATATGATTAGGTAAATTTTCATAATTTTCATATGTTTTTTTGATTAATGACTAAGTCTAACAAACTTTTTTTTTAAATCGTTAAATGGAATTCAGTAATAATATTGGTCAAATCGCCTATCTGAATGCTCAAGTTCATGGATTAAAACAAATATATTTTGGTGGTTGTTTCATAAGAGGTAAAAAAAGAAATTTTTTTATTACCGATTTGAATATGTTAACAGATTAATTGATATATGTATTTCTTTCAGGACATTTAATTACGATGGACACTTTATCTTATGCGATAAATTTCTGGTCACAAGGAACTATTAAAGCTCTCTTTCTTCGTCATGAAGGATACTTGGGTGCAGTTGGCGCTTTCCTTAAACATCCTGAACCGAGGAAACGATCTGCTTCCTTTTCTGAGATGCCCACTAACCCGCAGACTATGACTAAAAATAGTATTGACGCTGGTGAGGTTTTGGAAAGCGTCCCGATTAATCTATCGTAATTACTGAATTACGGCATATTCTTAGTTTAGTACAAATAAAGTCCTAAATGCCGTAAATACATGTAAATTAATATAGTTTATAATAAAATATTAATAAATAGTAACTTTAAAAAATATAGTTGATGGAAAAAACAATGTCTTTTGTACATTTTTATTTAACCGTTTTACTTTATATTGACTGGTGATGTAGAGTGAGTCAATAGAAACGCTTTAAAAAAAAGGCGAGCTCTCTTTAAAATCGGCTCATACAAGAGAGAGAAACCTGAATATTTAACCAAACAATACAAGCAGCATATTATCATTAAAGCAAAGCCACCATTAAAAAAGCTGTAATATTTGTCGATAGCCGGTAAATATATTGTTTTGATTCTTGATTTATGGACATGGATGTCATACTGTATTGCCGTAAATAGCTTGCCTGTCGCGAATGATTATATTTTGATTCTGAAACGGAAATTTCTTATCGCCGTGACTCGGGCATCAAATTTGATGATCATGGTGACTAGAAGCAGAATTAATAATGATCTTATAAAGGCATGTGAAAATGTAGATCTTGTTATCAAATCCATGAGTATATTAAAAACCTTGCATAACGATATTGTAATTCATACCGATTATGGTGCAATTTTTGCATATGTGTCCCTTAGAATAGTTCTATTACTGTTAATGAACTCGGGGAAAGCTCTGCTGCCAAGCTTCCTGACAGTCAATACAATGAGCCTTTTGGCGTTAGTTATTAAAATTTGGCAGTGTTACAATGTAAATAGAAGATGTTACAGGTTAAAATTTCGTAGACAAGAAAAATTTATTATCATTTGATCAGTATGAAATTTATTAAATTGGCGTATCGTTTCTTTCTAACGCTATGTTACAAAGAAATTAACCTAATTGGATACATTAAATACTAATCATCTTTTAAATACCTACGTTCGCACGTACTGAACATTGAATTACTAATCGCCGTATCGATATCAACGTTATTCTATTGGTAAACCTAATTGCTTTGATTGTTCCCTTGCTACGTACGTACAATAATAATTTTCCGAAACGAGTAATAGTACTGCATGCGTGTAATGATGCGCGTAATATGCCATTGGTCAAATTAATATCTGTACCTTTTTAAGAAATGACGAGTCTCCAATAATTATAACTTAAACCAAAACAAAGAAAAAATTAAGCCGACTCCATTCTGGAGAGCAAACTTCTCCTAATTAATGATGAAAATGTAACCGACCGAATGCATAATGACTAACTCTTCAAATTCTAAAAAGTTCTAGGAAATTCTAAGACAAGTTTAGAGATCGTATGTACGTACGTACAGTACGTTTTTCCCTTTTTTTTTAAAAAAAAATAATCTTATGGAGGGAGATACTATCGTTATAATTCTGCAAATTAAATAGTTCTAATAACACCGTAAATACTACTTATGATTATCAGTATCACGGCATTCGTGATGGGAGCTGTAGATTAGTTTTAACGATGATGTATGATAACAATATTATAACAATATTATGGTCATATGATATAGAAATTAGGGTGTCCAGGATTATGATGCGAGGATGGCTAAATTATGCATGCGGCAACTGTAAATTATGCAAAAATCAATTTTATGTATCATATGTAAATATATATGTAAATATGTTAAACCATTTTCTTAAATATCTTTTTTTGAACTTGGATATGTTATGTAAAGTTTGGAACCGATTTTTATTTTTAATATGCTAAAGCTAATTAAACCGGTTCCAAACCTGGTTTTTTATTCTATTTGAACTATTTTCATTGGCCAAAAAATCTAGTACGTACGTACATACTTTGCTAAAATCGTTCATTTTTGTGATAGCGGCAAAATACTCTAGATCTAGTGTATATTATTAATAATATAGGTCGCCAAGAGGAAATTTTCACAGCAAATCGCAAATTAGGCAAATTTAGTTTCTTACTAGCACTATTAACGAGGTTTTAATGAGTTTCTTAACGGAGTATGAAAAATTAGTAATTTTCTATACTCCGTCAAAAAACCTCGTTAATAGTGCTAGTAAGAAACTAAATTTGCCTAACTTGCGATTTGCTATGAAAATTTCCTCTTGGCGACCTATATTATTAATAATATACACTAGATCTAGAGTATTTTGCCGCTATCGCGAAAATAAGTCTTTTGATATAGAATTATAAGTCTTATGATTTAGGATCATTGTTATATTATCGTCATTATTATAGGGGGAAACTAGTACTGTATTGTATAGAAATAGTGACCTTGAAGATAATACTATATATGAGTGACGGGAAGAGAAAGCCTGTAAATCATTTCATTCCAGTGAATTCTACTCTTGAGGGGCAGAATTCACTGCGATGATAATGATAATGAGTGAAATGATTTATAGGTTTTCGGGGACATTTATAATTTATGTTAAACCACTATTGTTATAGGCTTAAAGATAATACAAAGATAATACTATATGGTATTATCTTCAAGGCCTTTATTTCTATACAATACAGCACTGGTTTAACGTAAATTATGGATGCCCCTTTCTAGTATATTTTTATATTATCTTTAAGATATACTTATAATAATACTGGACTGGTTTAACATAAATTATGGACGCCCTCTTATGACACTATCATATGCTATTGTAATATAGCAAGCCATATAAGTCATGTATATAAGAAGCATTTATAATTTATGTTAAACCAGTATTGTCATGGCATATGGTGTTATCTTCAAGGTCTCTATTTCTATACAATTCAGTATTGGTTTAGTTATAGTTATTGCATGGGTTGTAAAAAATAACTAAATTTGCATGGGGTTACATGGCTGAAGGCCATGCCATTGGGGTGGTTGGTCAACTAATCAAATCAAACCTATTTTTTAAGGAATATGATTGGCTAATTTTATTATATTTAATAATCAATAAATCATGTGAAAAAAAATCTTAACTAGCAAAGATTTGATCGAATTTTATTAATGTATTTTGCACACCAAAGTCAATTACTTTTGCTCTTTTTTTTTTTCTTATTACTTTATCTAATACTAACAATTTTATCTTTAATTGGTGATCTACTAGTCAACCAGAGAGTGACTATAGTAAAATATAACTCAAATTACTTATAAAAATTGGGTGTCTTCAAATGTGACATGCATGCATCTAAAACTTTTTTTATTCTAAGTTAATCACCTTTCTAATTTAAAAGACTTTTATAGAGCTTGTCAAGATGTATTTAATGGTAGTTAAAACATTAAAATTGGCTTGGTAGTTGCCAAGATATCTTTAAAAAGTGTTTCTTTTTTGCAAACAATATTATTATTTGCAAAGAAGTTTACATAGTAAAAGAAATATTTTTTAAAGATATCTTGGCAACCACCAAGTCAATTTTGATATTTTAGCCACTATTAAATGTGTCTTGACAAGCTCTACAAAAGTCTCTTAAGTTAGAAAGATAATTAACTTAGTATAAAAAAAGGTTTTAGATGTGTGCACACTACATTTGGAGACACCCAATTTTTATAAGTAATTTGAGTTATATTTTACTATGATCACTCTCTGGTTGACTGGTAGATCACCAATTAATATCTTTCTTTGAAAATTTTGTTTCAGAAAGGTATAGTTTGGATTCTTCAAGTTCTAGTAACATGTTCAGGTGAGTTTTTAAATCCAGTTTGTTAAACATATCCTTAACCTGTTGCTGATATACAATTATGTAATAAATTTTTGTAGTAGCAAACTCATAAAGTAGTGGATAATTAGATAGTTTAGAATTTAATGTATCACAAAAATTATTAAATCATTCACGAAAACTAGGATCTGAAATATAGAGTGTTTTTAGTTCAAAATCATTTAAGATATTTTCTAACAAATCATTTTCAAGTTGGTCTATGTATGTTTTTTTCTTATTCAAATAGCTCAAAGACTGTTAGAATATTCAAAACATCATAGTGATAACTTCTAGCAAAAGTTTGTGCATTATTTCCTCCTAAATAACAAATTGATAAGGGTAATTTTAGTCATTGAACTATCTATTTTTTAAAATATAATAGTGCTTTTTTTATACTTTTTTTTAATGAATAAAATATCTCTCCAAACTCTATTTCATCTAATAATTCAAGTGCTTCAAGTAATTCTTCAGAAAAGAATATATCAAAGTTGTCTGCAGCATCTGATAAAAAATTTAACCATTCCAAAACTTTATCTGGCATTTTATAAGCATGTCATTCAGGAGATAAGTTAATCCAGTTTTCACTATTGAATATTTGTGGAATAGGATCTTGACTGACAAGAAATTCTATTAATGGATTAAAAAAATAATAAATGAATTTAACTAAATGCTTTAATTGTATATTGAGTTTGTTATCCTTAAGCCAGGTATAAAAGAGACACCAATCATTCAAGTAAGATAGAGCTGTATTTGAATAGGATTCTAATACTTCAATAAACTATTCTGTGAATTGAATATGTGTTTTTCTTCGCTCTAAATATTGTTCAGCTAAACATAATTTGTATCCCCAACGAGTTTAGAGTGGCATTTGATATTGTGAATAACAATATCCAATAAGATATTTGTAGAGATCTTGAATATATTCGGATTTGATATTCATTGGTGCATTGCTATTTGTATTTCCATAGCTATCATGAAGGTGCCAAGCAAGATATAAAAGGTTGAATAGATGAGATTTTTTTAAAAACCCACCAGACACATATCCAAAAGCTTCATTCTCAAAATTGGTAAAAGCTATATTTATAATCTATAATTTACATCCAATTTGAATAGAACTTGTATTGCAATAGTACCATTAGTATTTCCAGACATATAGGCAGTATTATCAGTAAGCCATGTCATACATTTTTGTACATCAAAGTTGATATTTTTGGCAAATATTATTAACTGATTCTGCAATCATATTAGCATTACATCTTTTTATAGTTGTTAGACTAATAATACTAGCTATTAGGTAATTCTGTATACTATCCTAATACATCAAACAAATTACTAGATTCTTATTTTAACCATAAGTGGATTTGTCAGCAGAAATACCAAAAGCACTTGTTTGATGAGTATTTTTAGTTAAATTTGAAATGGCTAATTTGGAGACTTGTTTATGCCAAGTTGTAATATGCTCTCTTGAAAGCCAATTTTTTGGAGGTTTACTTGTTTGTACACTCAACAGTTGAACACATGGCCAACTTGTGCTAATTTTGCCATAAGCCAAACCATGTCCAGAGAATAATGCTGATCATCTGATTTAAAAAGATCTTTAACTTGTTTTTTAAAATTTTCTTGAGAAATTTTTTTAGATTTAGATGCTAAAGAACATATTATGGCTATATGAGTAGATGTTTTTTACTTGAGGTGACAATTTTGTGATCTGAGTAACTTAGTTTTATTAATTAAATTTTGATTTTGTTTGACTAATTTTTATTTTGAGATTTGAGCTGATTATATTCTTTTTGCAAGGCAGTATAGCTTGACTGTTGCCGATAAAGAGAATTAGAAATTACATTGACCAATTGCCATTGTAAATATAATAATATAATTTTTCCTTGATTTTTTCTTTTTGGGTATTTCATATTTTCTAAGAGATTAATTGCATCTTTTTTTTCTTCATCGCTTAAGCTTTGAATAAGCTTGGTAAGATTGTTTTCAGAATGTGTAAAAATTTTTTGTTTTTAATATTATATATAAACTCTAGAATGCTATTAAAATCTTCTTTATTAAGGCCATTAAGGAAATCTGTTACTTTCTTAATTTTTTTGTTTTTTTTTGTGTTTTTTTGAAAATTTTGGCATCATAGTTAGTGAATGAAAAAATATTTTTATGCAAACATTATTCATTTATAGGTTTTAACAATCATTAAAAAAACATTTGATAATTCGTTCAAAATGCATACAATTAAAGTGTTAAATTTTCTGATTAAAAAACACTGATTTCTTTATTATGATAAATTGATAAATTAGTTACAATATTTGAAATATATACAATTAAGTGCTAATCTATCAATCAAAGAACAAAAACATTTCAACAACTTATTTATTATGATCCTTATAATAATAACTGACTTTACTGATCAAAAAATAAAGAAATATACTGATAATTTAAATTTATATTTAGAACAACAATCGATAAATTAATTATAGTATTCGAGATTTACCTGGATATATACAATTACAAATTAAATTTACTGATCAAAAAAACTTTGATAATTTATTATTTGATTTCGAGAATAACTTCTAACTGCTTTAGTTTATAAAAACAATATTCAAGCTTACTAAGCTTGACCAAAATAAAATTAGTTTTGCTTTGATGA